GGGGGGGACATGGAGACTGTCTCTGCCAGTCAAAGATAGTTGGTATATCTAGGTTGGGTATTGGGTTACACTTCCGATTGTATGGTTATCTTGTTATTGAACATTACTGAACTTATAAAGCCTTTGATTAACATTAAAAAAAAAAAGATAGGGTCTTACTCTGTAACCCTGGCTGGCTTGGAACTAGCAGTGTAAACCAGGCTGCAAACTCAACAGAGATCAGCCTCAGAATTGTTGTGACTAAAGGCATAGACCACCATGCCCAGCTATTCCTTCATTTTGAATATCTTCCTTTCTCTTGTTTGTATTTCTTTTTACCTTCAATGAGAATTTTTATACTTTAGAATAGCTTCCCAAAAAAACCAACAGTAAAAACAAAAAAGCACCTTTTCAAGGTTTCAGTGAGATAATATCTTACAAGATGGTAAAGCCTACCTGTTCCTTTAATTATTCCATTTTTATGTATCATATAGAACACTTTGTTTTATTGAATATTTACTGTCTCTTTTCTCACTTGAAAGTAAGTAAAGGATTTTGTCTGTTTTGACAGTTGATGTATTATTGTAACTGTTGTCAATTAAGAACTTACTCTGTTCTGGTCTTGTGCTTTAGATTTAACATATGCTGGTACATATGAAAATGAATTAATATGGGTCTGGAGAGATGTCTCAGTAGTTAAGAGCACTTGCTGATCTTTCAGAGGATCAGAGTTAGGATCTAGCACTCACTTCCGATAGCTCACAAGTGCCTGTAACTCCAGCTCCAGGAAATCCAACCTCTTCTGGCCTCTGTGGTCATCAGCATGCATGTAGGCATGCGTACAGCAGACAAATGTACATATGAGAATGTAATTAGAACTGGGAATATTTTTCTTGATGAAGTCTCTAATCTTCTAAACAGGAATGTCCATGCTAAATAACTAGGTTATTGAAGGATTCATCATTTCACTCTGTTAAACAGCAAAAATCTCAAGCTAGTATCTAAGCACATACATTGGGAGAAATAATCAGAAGCCAAAGAGGCAAAGACTGTATTGCTCTAGTAAAATACAGTCCGATAGATTAACACTGTTGCACAAAGTGTGGTCAAACATAAACCTGTCTGTAATTTTTGTTTGATGAAAATGGAGTGTTTGTAACTTCTCCAGACTTGACAAATTACTAACAGTAAATGTATGGTAATTAAAAAAAACAAAACAAAGAAAAACAAGAATGTCAAGCTGTCACATGAGTTTATGAACTTCACCAGTACCACTGCAGTCATGATGGATCCAGTCACACTCAGTAAACACGTTGAGGGCTGCAATGTTAGGTTCAGAAAGAGTGCTTCTGTGTTTATTTTTAACAACTGATTCTTGAAAATCTTAGTTTCATATTAGCTAGTCTCCTTTCCTGATTGTGCGAGGACTGCATTTAGTGTATTCTAATTGGTCATGTGGTCATGTCACTGTGAGTTTGTTTGAGTGAGCACTGGAGCAGGACTGATTAAATTACAGTATCCTCTCTGTTTTAGTAAAGTTCTCCAGACGTAGAGAATTTCCACAGTACTGTTCCTCAAAATGTGGTCACTGAAAGAAGGCTTCTCTGAGGTACTCCAGGGAGGGGCCCATTCTCTGAGGCTCTTTCTCTCTTTCTTCCTCTCCCACTCTTCTCTGTTCCTTTTCTTTCCCTCCATCTGCCCCCATATCCCCCTCACCCCTTTTTTTCCCAAGATAGTTTCTCAGTATGTAGTGCAGTCTGACTACAGATTTGTAATTCTACCTCAGTTCCCGAGTTCTGGAATGGAATATGTTACTACACTAGACTAAGAGATCAATTTTTAAAGCAGATAAACCATTTGAGTTATAAATAAATACTTATATTTGTTAATTTTACTCCAAGAATTAGCTGTTAGAGGCTGGAGAGATAGCTCAGCAGTTAAGAACACTGTTGTTCTTACAGATCTGATTCGGTTTCCAGCACTCACATGGTGTCTCACAGTCATCTCTGTCTACAGTTTTCAGGATTTTGGATTCCTTCTTCTGGCATCCAAGGGCACTGGACATGTATGATGATATGGTATACATACATATATGTAGGCAGAAATTCATACACATTAAAAAAAAGCAAAAAACAGAATTAGAAATTAAAAAGACAGACAGCTCAATGGGTAAAGTTGCTTGGTCACCAAGCTTTGACAACCTGCATTCAGTCCCCAAGACCCCACATGGAGGAAGGAGGAATGACTCTCAAGTTCCTCTGACTATCACATATGTGCACACACACATATATTTAAATAAATAAAATAAGTAATGTTGGAGTAAAGAGTAGTTTAAGAGCACTTGTTGGTCTTCCAGAGAACCAGAGTTAGGATTTCAGTTCAAGTAAAATAATAAAATGTGATTTAAAAGGATCTTTATCATCTTGCATACAATTTTAATAACATAGTTATAGTTTTTGTAGTGTTGAGGATTAAGCACAGAGCTTTGCACATACCAGCCAATATACTCTAAACACAGAGCTATACTCCCAGTTCTGCTGTGTTGTACGCAGGAAAGGAGTGTCTGCTGATGATAACTAGGGGAAGAGGTCAGCACTGGAAGTTGTGCAAGTAAAAAGCACAAAATATAAAGCCAATTAGAAAGTTAGTATGGGGAAGAAAACCCAACAACCTTATTCTAATCTACAGTGAAAAATGTTTCTGAAAGTAGTCATTAAAAGAGTGAATCATGTTCAAATAATCCTATTTAAGAAGGTAAGTATAGAATTAGGCTATGTGTTGAATTTAAATTGTTTTTCAGGAGACTTTTGTGGAATGGGTTACTTTCATAATTTCCCTGGAAAGCATATCTGTTTCCATGGTTACAGAGTACTATGGTAGTTACTTGAAAGCAAGGGAAGACTGCTAAACAATCCATCTCTAGCCCACACTGACGCCCTGTGCTTTCAGTGGAGTAGCTGTAAAGTAAATGCATACCTGGCTGCCTTCAGAACTGCTTCACAGCAGCAGTGTAGGATTGGACACCGACACTGCCTGTGAATTGTAGGGCACACCATAGTTTAAGGATTAAGCAGAAACATTCTGTAGAATTTTGAGGAGCTTGTGAAGAAAGGTTCAAGCATTGGAAAGAAATGTAATCACCTCTTTTAGACTATATAGGAAAGATATTAAAGAGTATAAAATTACCATTGATTTTTTTTCTAGAAACGACTACAAAAAGAACTGTTGGCTTTGCAGAATGACCCACCTCCTGGAATGACTTTAAATGAAAAGAGCGTTCAGAATTCAATTACTCAGTGAGTATTTGATTCTTATAGGTCGTCTTGTGTTGTACAAGTATGTACTCATCTTTTAAAAAACTGTTGTTTCGTGTTTCATTTCATTCTGTTTCACAATTAATATAATAAAAAGATTCTATTTCATATATCTATATATTCATTTTTTTTTTGGGGGGGGGGGTTGAGACAGGGTTTCTCTGTGTAGCCCTGGCTGTCCTGGAACTCACTTTATAGACCAGGCTAGCCTCAAGCTCAGAAATCCGCCTGCCTCTGCCTCCCAAGTGCTGGGATTAAAGGCGTGCACCACCACTGCCCGGCTTGTATATTCATTTTTTAACCTTACTGTGTCAACATAGACTTATTGTCATGTAATTTGTAAAGCTTCCTTTTTTAAAACAATCTTTGTGTGTTTTTCATGTTCCTTAGTATGTATGTATGTATGTATGTATGTATGTATGTATGTATTTGTTTACTTTGTTGTGACTCTACGTTAGCCTTAGTCTCTAGAATACTGGTATTATAGATTGGTATGTGCCACTGCTTCTGGCTCTTAGGTCTTGAGCATTTGCTCTGCATTAAGACTGCAGCACTATGAATCCCGTTCTTTAGACACAGTAAGTCAAATATCCATGTTTACTCTTAGCACGATAGGATAGTTACCTAGCACAGATTGTACTTTTTTTTTTTTCTTTCTTAAGCCTCTCTAGTTGAAAGGGTGAGTTAAAACTGTGTCTACAGTAGAGAAGAGTGACACAGTGAAATGCTATCACTATATAGTTTGTAGTCAGTTTGTAAGGTAGAGATTTTTTTTAGCCATAATTCATAATTATCTTTGAGAATTCTGAAGAAAGGCCTTATTGGCTGGGTGCAGTGGTACATACCCATAGTCCTCACTACTTCTAGGAGGTTGTTGTAGGAGGATGAGCCCAAAAATTCATGACTACTGTGGAAAACTTGGTTAGATCTAAAGAATAAGCCATTCCCCAGAGGAAGACAGAGTTTGTGTGCTGCTTCTCTTAGTCCATAAACCTAGCTCTTTTCTGGAATAGAGTACATAGTTATTTCTTTATTAAAAGTGAAGATGTATGAAGAAAATGCCAAATTCAAACCATTACTTTTTAAAAAAGAGTAATAGTTACAGGAATTCAAGAGTTGAAACTTACTGGAGAAAGGTATGCTTACTTCCCACTAAATCCTTACTTTGAGGCACATACTCATGATGCTTCAGTCTGTGGGCCTGGGACTGGCGCTAAGGGTGTTTGCTGCACAGGCCTGGTGATGAGTTTGCTCTTCAGAACCCACGTACAGGTAGAAGGTGAGAAACAACTTCATGAAGCTGTCCCCTGACCATCGCTCCACACCATGGCATGTGTACCTATATTCACAGTATACATGCACACTGCTTATTAGTAACGCTGGACATCTAAGTGTGCACATAATAAAAGTACTATTCTTGTCATCAGTGATGTAGTAAACTGTAAAATGATAAAAATAAAATATACCCCAAGAAATGTAACAGTTGTTACTCCTGAGTTCTTTATATCTTTTTAAAATTCAGAAAGCATGCGTTACTTTTTTAATTAACAAAAATTAAAAACATATTGCATATATTATTAGAAATCATGTCTTTGACCCATTTCATGCAAATATTACATGATTAATGATGTTTGCTTTGCTGTGATTTAAACTCTGCTTTATATGTCACTAGTAAATTGATTGTATTTGTCAGTCCTAAACTTTGCTACATTAAGAAATGAAGGAGCACCAGGAAATCCTGTTTCCTTGAATTATCTCTCTGGGTAGTAGATATGAACTGATGGGAAGATGAATTTTGAAGCTGAGAAAGACCTAGTTTTTGTTTTAAATAATTTATTTTTATTTTATGTGCATTGGTGTTTTCCCTGCATGTATGTCTGTGTGAGGATGTTGGATCCTCTGGAGCTGGAGTTAGATGGTTGTGAGCCATGTGGGTACTGGGAGTTGAACCTGCCTGGGTTCTCTGGAAGAACAGTCAGTGAGTCCTCTCAACCATTGAGCCATCTCTCCAACCTCTTGTTTTGTTTTATAAGAAGAGAGTGTGTGTGCAGGAGCACATGCATAGAGTTGTGTCTTGAACCCAGGTCTCTTTAGCATGGCATGCAAGGACTTGACCACAGACCTGTATGCGCTCACAGTTTTCTTGCTTTCTAGATGGCTTTGTACTTAATTTACTATGTACTAGCTCTCATGATAGAAATGCACAAGGTTTTTTTGTTTTTTACATATGTAGTATCATTTCCCTATACCAACAGTATCCTTCTTCCATCTAAGGTACTCAGCGTACATTCTGAAAATAAATTATGTTTTTAAGGGTTTCTGTACTTTAGTTTATATATATTTCTAGTTTTTGTTTTATGTGAGACATGAGTAGAACCTTATCCCAGTATTTTCTGTCTTCCTCTGATTTTCCTGGACAAATAGATGAGTGGGTGATATTGACTGGCAGTACTGGGCATCAAACCCATGGCCTTGATGAGTGCTCTACTGCTGAGGTACATCCTCAACCCCAGTTACCCTGTATTTAAAATAAGCACATTTTTGTACCTGAGAAGTATGAAGTTAAAGGATTTGGCCAGCTACAATAATTATATGTGACAGCTATAATTAAAGACTCATTCCTAATGACTTCCATTCAAGTCTAAATGGAGTCTGTCCTATCTATCACCTTTGCTATTTTATCTTCTATCCCCTCTTCTATTGACTAGAGATGGGTACAGAATCACAATGAAAACATATATGTTCCTGTTAGAATACAAACTGCATAAATGCCATAGGGATCTGTGTGCGATTAATTAAAGTGCTAAAAGTGAGCTAGTGAGGAAAGGCAGGAGAGACCCTTGCTGGAAGCCTCCAGAGACTGTGGACGGGGATCCATGTAGTAGTCTTCTTTAGAATGCTGATTAGGAGCTGAGTTTGTCAGCTATAGTCCTTTAGAGTCTTTGATGATAGCGCTTTCACACATTGCTTCTAACAAGATGATGGCTAATGAAACTGTCTACAAAGGTTTTCATTACTGTAGAAAGTAGTCTTTTGAAAGAAAATAAGATTGCGTGATCTGAAAGGAAGAGCCTAATATAGACCCTGATGTTAGTATATGTTGGAGTTTTTTTATTTGTTTGTTGTTTGTAGTTTGTTTCAGACCTGGCTTACAAGCCTGGCTCTGACCTTGACCTAATTTCTTTAATCTAGTGTGTCACAGAAGGATAGGGAAGAGAGTATTACTATGGGGTTGGAGAGATAGCTCAGCAGCGGGTAAGAGGGTGTGTTGGTATTCCAGGTACCCTAGCTTACATCCTGGCATCCAGAATCTGAAGCCCTCTTCTGGCCTCCATGGACACTAACACACACACACACACACACACACACACACACACACACACAAATCAAACAAGCAGAAAGACAAACAACCCTGCTCTGAGGGCCAGAAAGATTAAAATACAATGTTCAATCTCTGAACCCACATAGAGGTGAAAGGAAAGGGTCACAAAGCCGTGTGCTGTGACTGTGAATGCCCCACCCCATACAACAATAATAAATTTACCCAAATGTACATAGTTTACACAATAATAATAAAATTGAAAAGTTCTCTACAAAGAGAAACAGTCAGTGTGGGAGTTGCTGGGTGAAGTGCAGCACTACCCTTGGGCTGTTCCTCCAGTGCCGGCAGCTCAACGCCTCTTTTCCCTTCATCTCAACCCTTTCTAACGTATGATTTAAATGTTTCCTTTTGTTATTTTTTTTCTGTTCTAGGTGGATCGTAGACATGGAAGGTGCACCAGGAACCTTATATGAAGGGGAAAAATTTCAACTTCTGTTTAAATTTAGTAGTCGATACCCTTTTGACTCTCCTCAGGTAACTCCTTGCATGTAACATTGTATTTTTATTTTATAGCAAAACACTAAATTGGTTATTTTTGCCTAGATAAAACCTATATCACATGCCCAATATAACTATGTAGATAGAATTATTTTTACATAACTCAGGATTTTATGAATTTTATTGGGACAGGCTTTGCTGCTATCATGCTTCCAGAAGCTTCAGGTGGTTTGCCATCTGTGGGTTTCATGAGCAGGTTAGCGTTTCTAATAACTGCAGGGACTTTTTCTAGATCATGCTGATAAAGGCTCTTTTAGGACTGTCTTTGGTTTTCCATTGCTGTGTTTTCTTTGCAGCCTTTAAAAACAAGTGTGTATTTATAGATGTCAAATACATGAAGTCAACTGAAATCTGATCATTATGACTTGAAGCAAACACAGTTTAGGTAATAGTTGAATACTTAGACAAGGAAAAATGGAGGTAGTGGAATTAAAAAAAAGAAACCTTTCTTGGGGAGGGGTTGTTTGTTTTAGTGTTTTGCCTGTGTGTGTATCTGTGCATGTCTGTCTGATGTCCTGGGAGGTCAGAAGACGGTGTTGGATGTGAGCAGCCACGTGGGTGCTGGAAGAACAAGTGCTGTGACCGCTGGGCTCTCCAGCCCCAGGGAATGGTTTTAAGAGGTATTTAACTAGTAATTAATTGACTGGAGGTCAGAGGAGAGGGGAGATGCTGGGGTGATTTCCAGGTCCTGACTTGTGAGACAGTGAGTTACTAGAATTATTTATTCTCCACAAAATTATAAGAGTTCACATTTCAAGCTTGAAGTTTGTGAGATGTGTTGCTAAAATGAATCCCTGCCAATACTCTGTGTTACTGTTAAGTAATGAAGTCTTCTAGAAAATAAACCCAGCACCTAAAATTCAACTTGGTATATGATTATAAATGTGCTATTTTGAACAAAGTCATGTTTCATTGGCACCTTCAAAATAATATTCTGAATTTAGCTTTAACCTTTTTTTGTCCACACACACACACAAAAAAAAGGATACTAGTTTATGCATTATGCTATAAAGGGAATTTTATAACGAGGCAGGATTAACTAAACACTGACTCTTTGAATTATAAAGTTGTCATATGAGGAAAAGTTAAGCCTTAAGGCTCCTTTGACCATTTTAAAGAACTGTAAAGTGAAGGGGTTCTGCTGTTATGACCTGGGCATTGTAATAGGCATCTGTTAATCACAAGCACAAACATCATACTTCTCATTAAGAATATGTCTTTACTTTCTCTAATATCTGGGATCCTTCACCTCTGTTCCCTTAGCTGTTTCTGCCTTACTTCAGCAGAATTATAGCAGGCCACTTAGATGCATTTAACTTAGTGGAGATTCTGGAAGGAGCAGAATTTCTTTTTTAATCATAGGAAAACAGTATTTCTATAAACATAAAACCAAGTCAAAAAGCATTCTGCAAACTCTGTCCTAAGTCTTTTATTCAAAATCAGATATTAAATCAAATTTAAATATTTCCAAATCACCATTTATAATACATTTATTCCCTTCTTCTTCTTCTTTCTGCTCCTTTGATTTTAATAACTTCGGATTTATTATTCAGCAATATTATATTCTTTAATATACATTACTATACATTAGACAGCTGATTCAGATCACTGCTGTGGGTACATATCCTTCTAAAATATCATAAGTCTTTTGGACATCAATTTTTTTCTCCCCAAGAAAGTGAGTGTTTCTCTGTGTAGCCCTGGCTTTTCTGGAACTTGCCATGTAGACCAAGCTGGCCTCCAACTCACAGAGATCTGCCTGCCTCTGCCTCCTGAGTGCTGGGATTAAGGGTGTGCACCACTAAGCCTTGATGATATTTCAGATTTAATACATCTAAACTTAACCATTTCCAGTAATGAAATAGAAAAAAATTTTTTTCTTTATGTTGGGTTTCTGTTTACCTTCTGCTTTGTTTTAAATTGTCTGTCTGCTTTCACTTATTCCTAGATACAGTTTTTCAGTCCTTTTGCTATCTTTAAGTCAGTCCATTTCTTTCTCATCTTTCTTTCTCATCTGGACTGTAGCACAGGGAATTATCTTCCAACTGGGATGTTTCAATAGGTTAATGTTTCAGTAGTTTCTACTTATGCTGTTTACCTTTTCATAGTTAATCTCTCTGTAGGCATATTCATGTCTCACTGTATATTTAAAAATTCTCTTTTACAGTGCTAGGATCAAACCTTACCCTTGGCTCCCTTTCCATCCCCCACTCTCTATGTTTATACACATGTCTCACCCCCAAACCCTCCCATACCCCTGCCTTATTTTTGCTTTCCTTAGTTTGCTTTCTGTGGATGATTATTTCCTGTGGAATCAGTCAAGTCCCTTTATGAACATGTTAAAACTTAACCATTTCTTGCACAGATACCTCCCTGCATTTTACTGTGTAGTAGTGTGTATGTATCATATTTCTTCATTTAACTTCCATTCTGATTTTATCACTAATAGCTCTTAATAAAGTAGTTATGAAATATAGATTCAGGTTTTTGTTTCCTAAGTGAAGCAATCAAAGCTTGTAGAAAGGTCTTATTAATGGTTTGATTACTAATTAGAACAGTCAGGAGTCAGAACCAAGTCTCCCCCCCTTCCCTCCCTCCCCCCTTCCCTCTCTCCCTCCCCCCCCCCCCCCCCCCCCCCTCTCTCTCTCTCTCTCCCTCCCTCTCTCTCTCTCTCTGCCATGATGCTGCCAAGTAGCTACTAACAAGGGAAAGGTATCTGCTCATCCTTTTTGTAACCTCTAGAAAAGTGAAAGATTATGTGCGGACTCTAAAAGGCCTGAGTCTAATTACTTCTATTCTTTTGGAATGCTAGTATTTCTTTTTAATAGTGTATTTTATAATGTATCCATCTATACTGTAGAAGTTTTACATTCTAATTTATATTGGTTAAGAAAATTAAAATTACTCTAAGGGCAGGGATTTCTTAATTATTAAAATTATTTTATTAATCACATCATCTGTATGGCTTTAAATGTAATGGGTCTAATAAGATTTGTGTACATGTAAAGAAAGAAATGTGATTGAAATATTCCTTTGAGGTCCGTTCCTGAATTATAAGGTAGTTTGAGGAAACAGAAACATTGGCTGTTATTAGATACTAGTCTTTCATTTTCCTACAGAATAAGCAATATTGAGTATATGACTTCTTAGAAAACCAGAATTTTAGGAGTGTCCCTGGAGTAGACCAGTCTCATTGTGAAATGCCCACTATTGAATCTGTAACACATATAGGCCATTCTATACCTGTGAAGCTTTCTGTTTGCATCTTATTCATGATTAGCTTCTCACATTATATGCCATTTTGCTATGAAGAAAGCCACTTGCCTACATAATGATGTTTGGCTCGATTATTTGTTCTTCTTCTTTTTTTTTTTTTTTGGTTTATTTATTTCATTTATTTGAATACACTGTTACTGTCTTCAGACACACCAGAAGAGGGCATCAGATCTCATCACAGATGGTTGTGAGCCATCATGTGGTTGCTGGGAATTGAACTCAGGACCTCTGGAAGAGCAGCCAGTGCTTTTAACCACTGAGCCATCTCTCCAGCCCGATCATTTGTTCTTAAATAAAATGACACTAAGTATTTTTCAGTTAGTATAGGAACAGAGATGAGGTACCTGTCATCATTTTCCACCAATATGCAGTTAATGTCAGCATCCTTCCTCACACAGGAAATGTCTTTCTGGGTAAACTCAGTATTTGTTTATTCTAAGTTACATGTAAATGGATGCTTAGTTCAGTGTGTCTGCTATGCTAAACATTTGTCTTTATATGAAGAAATAGAAGATTATGGAGAGACTAAAAAGACATTAGATCACCTTTAAAGGACTTTAATCTGCTTATTTGAATAGGTTAACATTTGCTTACCTGTCATCTGTTAAGGATAACTCACTTTATCTGTAACAGATTGAGTATATAATCAGATCTGTTTGGCTCAGATTGTAGTGTTTCATGGGGCAGTGTATACCCTAGGACCAGCACTCAGAATGTTGAATATTAATTGAGAAGAGAGTTCTAGGCTAACCTGAGCAATAAAACAAGATCCTGTCTCAAAAAAGCAAATGAAAAAGCTGGGAAGATGGTTTCTGAAGTAGAGTGTTGCTCTACAACTAGGAGATCTGATTTAGTCCTAAGCACCAGCTAAAAGCCAGGTATGCAGTGCCCACCAGTTATTGTGGCACCGGGAGGCATGTGCAGGATGCTCCTTGGGATTGCTGACCACACAGTTCACAGTTCAGTGAGATAACATTCCTCAAAAAAAAAAAAAAAGGAGGGGGAGAGTAATTGGTGAACACACACTGATCCCCTCCCCCGCATGTCTCCATACACACCTTATACCCTCCCATGTCTACACATGTGCGTGCATGATCCAAACAAATAATTCTTAATTTAGCAAGGAAACACAAGAATTTCATTATAGGCAACAAAGAAAATTTTTTTTGTCCATGAAGTTTGCATTCTTTTGGAAAAAACATGAGCGCTAAATAAAATAGTGCAGGAGAGAAGTAGGGCAAGGCGATGATGAGTAGAGCTCCAGTGTCTCACAGAGCACGGCCAGCAGTTGACAGTTGGGGCCTCATGAAACTATAAAGTTTCTTTCCAGCAAAGTGACAGCTTACAGAATGGGAGAAAATGTTTCCGCACTGTACTTTTGATAGAATGTAATAGACATACAGAGAGAGCCCTATATAATAAGAAATTATACAGTCCAATCAGGTGAAATGCAAATGGCCAATAAAGATCGGAAAAATGTTCAGTTTTTTAACCATTAGAGAAATGCAAATCAAAACTACCCTGAGATTCCATATTACCTAAGTCAGTTGTTATTCATCAGAAGAACAACAACAACAAAAGAAATGCTTGTGGGGTTATGGACAGGAGACAACCTTTTATAGATATATTTGTAGCCTATACTTTTGCCCTGATTAAGTGGAAGGTTTTGAGCAGAGTTATAGAATCATATCTAAAATTAA